TGCAGAACAAAACAGGGCATATTGGCAACATTATGTTGTGAAGTTCATGAATTTTTCTCCTGTCAAAACCAACTTTATAATAACACTACTATAGAATAATACAGGACACCTTATTAATATGAGGTTCATAATTAGTCTCCTGCTGAAAGCAAGTGCCATAAAAACACCACTGCAGAATAAAACAGGTCATTTTAGCATATGAAGTTCATGAAATTGTCTCTTGTTGAAATCAAACTGCAGAGAACACTTTAGAAGACAGGCTACCTTAGTAATATGAGGTTTATAATATAGTCTTCTGTTGAAACCAAACCACAAAAAGTCACCCCAAAGAAAACACAGAGCATCTTAGCAACAATTGAGGTTTGTGATTTAGTCTCCTGTTGAAATCAAGCTTCTCAAAACACTTCAAAGCAAATAACACAGGGCATCTTTAGAAACAATGTGGTGCATGAGTTGGTCTCCTGTTGAAAGCAAGTTTCATAAAAACACCACTGCAGAATGAAACAGGTCATTTTAGCATATCTAGTTTGTGAAACAGTCTCTTGTTGAAACCAGTTTCATAAATATATCACTGCAAAAGGTAGAATTTAGCAATATAAGGTTCATGATTTAGTCTACTGTTGAAACCAAACTTCTCAAACACCCCAGGGCAAAACAACATAGGGCATCTTTAGCAACAATTGAATAATATAAAAACAAAATGTGGCATCTCAGCAACAATGTGAAGTTATTAGTCTATTCTGTTGAAACTAAACTTCACAAAAACACCACTGAAGCACAAAATAAAACTTTTAACTATACTCTATCAAAAGTGATGTAGAATTCATTTGCAAGAACTTTCGTAGAAACTATCCAAACAAGCGGCATATTTATTCCCAGGCACATTAGTGAAAAATACTTCCCAGGATTTTCTCACTTCTTTTTACTGGTCATTCTTGTTCTTAACATGTGTTAAGATATGCGATTTCAAGTTGGTCGACTGAGCAAACTTCTTGCTGCAGGCATCAAATGGGCACACAAAGGGCTTGTCTCCAGTATGAATTCGCACGTGAGTGCGCAGATTGAAATCAAGGGAAAAGCGTCTCCCACAACCTTCAAAGGTACACTGATAGGGCTTCTCTCCAGTGTGAACCAACTGATGACGTTTCAGCTTTGAACTCTCAACAAAAGATTTGCCACATTCTGCACAGACGTGTACTCTAGGCCCATGGATATGCAAATGCTTTCTCATAGCTGAGTTATCCTTGAACATCTTCCCGCAGCCTATATGAGAGCAAGCTATAGGTCTTGGAAAGTCTCCTTTAGGCTTCCTGGGTTTCATGCTTGTAAATTCTGCCAGCTGTTTGGGATCAGACAGGTCAATGCCAGGTATTCCTTCAGGAGGAAATTTCTTTCCGGTCATATACTCAGAGTAATCAGGAGGTGAATCGTCAGCCTGCTTCTCAGTCATTGTATCTTCCTGTTCAGTAACCTCCCACATGGCGAAGGGTAATTCTCCCTCAAGAGCTTCGATTTCTACCTGCTTTTGCTCCCACTGTTTGTCGCCCAGGTCAGGGCTCACGAGTTCTTCCGTACCAGCCTCGATAATGGTTGTCAAACTACAGAGATTCCCTTCATAGGAGTTGAGCTCACCTTGACATTGCTCTGCTGCCATGAAGCCCGACAAAGAGGCATTGGTCGGCTGGAGATAATCATCTTGATTAATAACTGGAACAACCATTTGGCTTTCAAATTCAGCACTGAATAACAGGTTGTCTGAGTCCTGGTAGCCCACCACCTCCTCTCGTGTCTGCAAGATGATCATTTCCTGATCATGGGCACCATTACTCAGGGTGCCGCCCGCAAGAGGCTGCAGAGCGATAACAGGAGAGTGGTAGTGGCCACCATGTGCCCAGTCGACACCTATGTCTTCGTACACTTCGATAGTTTGAATACCGCTGGTTTCCACAGAAACCGCTTCTACATTAAGTGGCTGCAGCTCCACAAAATCAGCAGGAATCTCTGCATTTTCTGTGGTGATACAGAAAAGTTTCTCTGAGGCCATGGCTGAGACCCACGTGGCGGTGCTGGGTAGCAAGCAGGTGGGAGATGGCTGTGGAGTAGAAAAAAAATCAGGGAAGAAAAGCACGCACTTGCGTGCTTATAAACAACAACAACAATGACAAAACAATGACAAAACAATGACAAAACAACAAGAAAAACAAACCCAAGAGAGCTTGACGAAAAGCGTGCGCTTCGGAGAAAGGCTGCCGTCGTCTGAGGCGTTAAGTGCTGTTTCCGGGAGGCAAGAAACGCATGCGTTGTAAATGTCACTGCAACGTCACTGGATGCGCCACTATATACGTCACTGCACTGCGACAGACCATCTAGCCAGTATATTCTGTGGATGCCTAAACTATTTTACCACTTTCTGCAGAGTGTGTGGAGCCTGCATTGGTTTTCGTGCTGTCCTGTCTAATTGCTGACTAAATATAATTTTCTCTTCTAGGTTCCTTACTGAAGTTTCCTTATTTTAATTCAGTTGATTTTTCTTACCTCCCTTCAGCCAGGCTTATATCAGATCTAGGAAAAAAGGTCTATTACTCTTTAATTTTACACTTTGTGTCTGTTTATCATCCTACCAGTATGCTATATAACTCAGCCCCTTTATAATTTTTATTTCCCCTTATTAAGCCACAAGACTTACTATAATATACATGCCACCAATAATAGTTTTGTCATTTAATATTTATTTGTTTGCTTGTTTATTTATTTATTTATTTATTTCTAGACAGAGTTTCTCTGTGTAGCCATGGCTGTCCTGGAACTCGCTCTGTAGACCAGGCTAGCTTCAAACTAACAGAGATCCACCTGCCTCTGCCTCCCAAGTATTGGGATTAAATCTGTGTGCCACCACCACCTAGCTTTGCCCTTTAATAAATACATGAAACATCCAATTTCTCCTTTTACTAAGTATGATATTTAAAAATGTTAATATACATTAATTTTGTTTTTGGTCTTAATGTCTTAGATGAGGAAAAATTTCCCTGACAGTAAAGTTTTATTTTCAAAAGTTACTAATGTCAAAGTATACTTGCATTCTTGAAATATATCACATTTTGTGCTTTACCACTAACAACTATCAGTGCTGTATTTTCTTAAAAAACAAAACTTAATTTTTGCTAGGTATTAGAGGACATAGGCGTACACTCTCAACTCTCTGAATGCAGAGGCAGGAAGAATTTGTGTTCAAGACCAGCCTGGACTACACAGTGGGATCACATCTCAAAAACAAAATAAGCAACCACCAGATCTTCCACAAAAATCCAACTACAACAATTCAAATAATAGAAAAACTTAGCTGCCTTCTGTATATGATCTGGAAAAGTTTATGCTAAATTTTCTTTCCCTTTTTGACTTTACTTCTGATAAAAATGCATATACATGGGATAAAATTGGGAGTAAACTATAAAATATGTTTTAACTATTTTGAGAATATTTGCTCAGTGCTATGCATGCCACTTAAACTTTTGAATTATGATAATACTTTGGAAAGTTAACTTTATAAAATACACCCTAGGGCTGGAGGGATAGTTCAGCCATTAGAGGCTGGGCTCACAACCATAAAATACACCCTAACTTCTGTGTATATCTAAATATTTGCCTCATTATAAACATTACCAGTGAACTAATATTTACTGTATAAACATTGTTTACTATGAATTATAACTGCATTGTATTATAATGTTAAGGAAAAGGACTACTACAATGACATTCAGCCATTACTTAATGTTTAAAAATGTGCTTAATATGATATATTTTTGAATACTATGGTATATATCACACATAATCTTTTTGAAGAAAAAAAGTTTATTCAGGATTTTATTCTACTTATAAAACGTTTAGGGAAATTTTTTTTGTCAACTTTTATAATTTCTCCTCTTGTAATTATTAGCCTATTTAGTTAATTTCAGCTATTTTCACATTATTATATTTCTTCATTTTTGTGAAAACTTTTTTCAGAGATGAATAAAAACATTAAAATTATATAATTTTCTCTATATTATTCACTAATCTGAATAAAATTCTGTCAATACCTTTTTCTTCTTTTTGCTTAATGTTTTATTTTTTCCAAATAATTTGGGTTTAATACTCTGATTATATCATTATTAATTACTTCATTATTTATTTTATGTGACTATTTTCCCTGTAGGAATATACACACACCACATGCATATCTAGTGTCTGTAGATGTCTAAAGAATTCATAAGGTTCCCTGTCCTTGGAGTTAAGGACAGTTGTAAACCTCCACATGGGTATTAGGAACTAGTTTCTAAGATAGCCACGTCCTCTGCAAGAGCAGCAAGTCCTTTTATCCTCTGAGCCATCTATCTAGCCTTTAATACATTATTTTATAAATATTTTATATTTTTCTTCATATTTCTTAAATTGATTGCCTAATTGACTTATTTTCACTTCTGACTTTACAATAACTGTATATCATTGAATTTTTCTTTTAGTAAAAAGCTTTATATTGTATTCTGGTAAAATGATGTTATTATTATTACCTATGAATAACTAATAACGATCATATCAAGCTATTATTTTTAATTAAATGGATCCAATGTGTGATTAAGTCAAATTTCTAAATTATCCTATTATTATTATATTTGAGATTTGTGAATATATTGATTTGTATGACAACTTCATGGGCATTTAAAAAGAATTTGTCTGTGTTCATAACATACAATCAAACTTACCTATTTTTATATAAGTAATTATAAGATTCCATGATCTTACATTTTACACTTTTCTCTTGTCTTATGAGAAATGAACACATCATATTTATATTTGTCCTTCTACTTTATCCATTTTGTTTGGTGTTCTGATTTGGTATTTCATCAAATAAGACTCGTAGTTATATTCCTTATTAATAAGTGACTTTTTATTATTTGCATAGATATTCTGATGTTTTACTTTCCAATATTTGAATAATTTTTAAGATAGATTGTTCTAAACATCACAAATTTGAGATACTTTTAAAATCTAAACTAAGGGCGTTTTTGTAGTGCTGGTGATCAAACCCAAGGCCTCACAGATGCTAGGCAAGCATCCTACAAGTGAATTATCTCAGCCTGACATTTTAATAATATAGCTTATCTCTGTTGTGTGATATATTTTACTATGTTAATGTTAAAACACTTCTTTTTATTTTTAGACAGAAAAGAGATGATGGGAGATGTCATTCTGTAAATATGTTTCTTGTATTGTTTAATGAATAAAGCACTGTTGGCCAATAGGAAAGCAAGATAGGCAGAACAAGGAGGATTCGAGGAAGTAGTAGAGAGGAGTCAGCATGTAGAGACTGGAGAGAGCAGAACGCCAGCCCAAATCTCCGGTAAGATGAGACCACGTGGTTAATATTTACGACAGACAGAGCTAGCCAATAAGAAATGATAGTAACTGGCCAACAGCATTTATATCAAAAAAAAAAAAAAAAAAAAAAAAACTAGAATTCTGAAATCTTTTTATGACATTTGGCCATTTTATTACCTTTGCATTCAGATACTGATATGCTGTCAGTTTCTCAGGATTTCATAATAGAATGCCATCTCAAAAAAATTAATATAGATTATCTCATTTATATTTGGGGTAATTTATGATATAAGGAAAATAATTATTTTGTTTTTCTAATGTTGGTTTATTTTGTCACTTCACATAAGATCTTTTGTCTACTTTCATTTATTATGATTACTTGAAATGTTTAAATGTATTTTTCAGATAATTTACCGTGTACTATTACACTCAAATCACTGACTTTATCTCAATTATCTGATTCACACCACTAAGGAAATGAGAGAATTAGCATCCAGACTTACTGCTTTTACTTTATCCATCTCCACTTATTTTTAAAGAGATAAATTAATTTTTAAAAGTAATTTATTTTATTTGTGTGAATATTTTGGCCTTATGACATATGGAGGTAAGGTCATTGAGCTCCCTAAAACTGGAATTAAGGATAGCTGTGGAACACTATGTAGTTAATGAGAACCAAATCCAGGTCCTCTTCAAGATCATCAAGTACTCTTAAGTGCTAAACCATCTCTCTAACCTCTGAGGAAGTTTTGATAATATTTTATTTATTTTGTACATGCATACATGTCATGGCATGAACACAGAATTCAGAGAACAATTCAGAGACATTGGTTCTCTCCCTCCTACCACATAGAATGTAGAAATCAAAATAAGGTCATTAGGCTTGGCTTGGCAGCAAGTATCTTTACTCACTGAGCCACATTATTGGGTCCCATTGGTTTTCACTGGTTAGTTATTGTATACAACAGTTTGTTCAATAATTATATTTCCATACTTGCTTGGCCTTAGTTACTCCATTTAATGAGATGTAGTAGTGTGGTAGATTTGTTTTTAGTTTCTGTAGCTAAGATGGATCTGTTTATCACAGAATTTCTCCCCTACATAACTGTGTATCTCCAGGTGAGTCTTTCTGTCTAGTTGAACTCCAACAGTGCTAGAGTTCAGCATCAGTCCTTGCATACCATCTTTTATTCACTCTTGAATTGTGATTTATCATGTGACTGACGTTTCATGTTTTCTTTACTTTTGCACATTTCTTTGATTATTCAGCTAAGTTGACATTCTTCATAGTTCTAGTTTCAGGGTTTGACCATTCTTTTGCTTCAGTAAACATGAAGTTTTTTTCCTCTGCTTTTATTTACTAATTTACATTGTTTTTTTTTTTTCAAGAAAAACTGCTTTTGGCCAGGTGTTGGTGGCACACACCTTTAATCTCAGCACTCAGGAGGCAGAGGCAGGTGGATCTCTTTGAGTTCAAGGGCAGGCTGGTCTACAGAGTGAGTGCCAGGACAGTCATGACTGTTCAAAACTGTGAAACCCTGTCTCACATAGCACATTAACAAACAAACAAAAAAACAAATTTGCTTTTGAAGTAGTATATAAGAAACTGAATTTATTAAGCAAGTGTTATTTTTCACAGAAGTACTTTCAATAAAATCACTAACCACAGAAAATCAAAACCCAAACAACACATAAACATTTAAAATAAACAATGAAGTCTATCTATTTGTTACCTGCACAAAATATCCTTAGCTGCTGGACTGGTGATATAAGTTGCAAATGGGTGGTGAAGAGATCAACAAATGCTCCAGGATAAATAATGAAGAGAAAAATTCCAAAGCCATTAAATCGAACTTGTTCCCTAAGAAAACATGTAAGAAATCACAATAAGAAAAAGGAATTTACTGATATTATAGTATGTGTCAAGTTAATAATGATTTAATCTTAAAATTCTGAAATTCAAATTTTAAAAAATAATCTCCCTGGATAAATAAAACATATAAAATAAAACCTAGTAATAACTTTAAAATAGTCTAATAGTTTTGTCCTAGTCATTAGAGAACTTTGAAATACACTTAAAATGTCAAATTCTTAGGACTTTTGATATTGTTGACTATATTACTGAAATTTGATATATAAAGACATAGCTAATACTTCTATAAGAAAGCAGTGACACAATTATACAGAGTAATATAAACTATTTTCAGAGGACAAGAGGAAATATATAACTCAAATATATGATTCCAACACATTTGTCTTAGTTATTATAAATAATCCTCAAGATTTATGTTAAGTATATTTCAGTTGGGCTAATATTAAGCATTTTTAAAAACAATCATTGGTAAAATAGTTCTTAAAAGGAGTTTTCCCACCATTTCATTTCTAAAAAAAAACATTTAATAGTCTCAGAGGACCAAACAGGTAGTATGAGGAGTAAGACAATTAAGTAATTCACTCTTTGTTGGTAATGAGATTTATAAATAATAGTTCATAGTGGCAGAGAGTGCTATGCAGTCTGCTAGGGCAGAAAAGTCATTAGTGGTCATACCCAGCTGCAAACCTTGTGAGCTATAACAAGGTTGTTATGCCAAGATTGTTCTGTGGATAATCAACAACTTTTCTGATTAGATTTAGGCCTGCTCCACAGGAGGGAACTCATTCTTGCTACTACTAAAACTGGCTAAAACCCTGCACATGGGTAGGTGTGATGGTTTAATAGGAATTACCACCATAAGCTCATATATTTGAGTGCTTAGTCGCCAGAGAGTAGAAGTTTGAAATGATTATAAGGAATACAGAGTGTGACTTGTTGAAAGAAGTATGTCACTGGGGGCTTAGAGGTTTCAAAAGCTCATGCCAGGCCCAGTCTCTCTCTCTCTCTCTTCCTGCAGATCAGAAAGCAAAGCTTTCAGCTGGTGTGCCTCCATGCTCCCTGGCATTGAGGGTAATGGAATAAACCTCTGAAACTGTAAGCAAGGCCCCCGTTAATGTTTTCCTTGATAAGAGTTGCTTTGGTCATGGTCTCTTCAAATCAATAAAACAATAACTATGGCACGAGGTCACAGGCCCTAATGAAGAATCTATTATTATTGTTTTGCTAAATAGACATAGAATTAACCTGCCTTCTAAATAATGAATTATCTTTATATCAATAGATTCATGCTGTTCTCAATCATCATCAGAGACACTTGCTATTTAGTTTTTGCAATGGATGGCAGTTAAACAGAGACTCACAACTGGTTAAAGTGCAGAGCACAGGTGACTATGGAGTACTCAGCTGTAAATGGGACATTGAAATCACAAACCCATTCCCTTGAGGCTCAGGCAAACACTGCAGAAGAAGAGGCAGAAAGATTGTAGGACCCAGAGTTTGGGAAGGACTGCTTCAAAACACTGTCTTCCAGATATAACATGGCCAATACATTCATGAACTCACAACAGCTATATTTGCCTGCATAAGACCACAAGATCAAACCAGTCAACAGTATAGTATAAATGGGGGAGAAGCTCATGAGGCATTTTCCATAGCAGTGAAGTTATTGGTAGTTGATGGTTTCTAGGAGATTGCAGGTAGCACTATCTTAACCCAGTGAGTTACTAAGTGGTGGGGGCAGAACTTGGGAAGGAGATGTGGAGGGTCTGAGAGGAATTGGAGGCAAGGAATAAGGGATGGATATGATCAAAATATATCATACACGTATTCTCAAAGAATAAATTTAATATATTGTATTTTAAAAGTTATCCAAGTTGTTTCACAAATATACTATAATTTAAGAAACTATGAATAATGCCTAAAACCCTAAAGGTTACAAGGTTAAATATATGTGGAAGAAAAAATTAGATTTATAAAAGTTAACCAGGGTGAGATTGAACAGTAAGTAATAAAGCTGCTTGCTATCAAACTTGACAACCTGAGTTCAACTCTAGGTGCCACCCATAGGAAGAGAAATGATTCCTGAAAAACTGTTCTCTAACCTCCACACATGTGGCACATGTATACACCCACCCCTACACTCACGTAACACATGACAAAATTTTTTATGATAACTGCCCTTTTGTTTTGTTTGAGACAGGGTTTCTCTGTGTAGCACTGTCTGTCCCAGAACTCATTTTGTAGACCAGGCTGGCCTCGAAATAAAGGCATGTGCCACCACTGTCCAGCTAAGGTAACTGCCTCTTTAAACCAGTAGTGTGTATATCTGTTATGTTACAATGAATGTCTAGATTTGTTCATAAGCATTGGAAAAAAATAATAATTAATCTCCTCCAGCATAGTGATTTGCCTTTTCCCTGGTCCACATGCACAAAAGAGAGAAGATGCCTGTCGGCATGTTTCTAATTATGGCAAGACTTGCCATGGGGTATCAGGGAAGTAGTGACCACCCATGCCTTCTTCCCATCTTAATTATTTAGGTGTCAAAAGAAAGATACATTAGGCAGTGAAAACCACCAAAATAGCATGATTCCCAAAGTCAGTCCCAGATCTCATCCTCTGTCTTCAACCTGGATTTCTACGTAGGCATACATATACACCATTGAACCCAGCACTTCTAGCTTTTTATTCTAGCCAACACGGGACATGAACAGAAATAGGAAATTGTTTCAGCTGATAAGGTAGAGCCGTTTACAGTGGCACATACTTATTATCCTAATATTACCCTAATACTTAGAAGACCAAGGCTGGAAGACCCTGAGTTTGAAGCTAGCCTAGGCTAAAGAGACCTTTCCTTCTGGCTACCTACTCCCACAGAAAACATTCTGAGCAGTGGCAGAGGGTTGAATTCAGTGAATGCTAAAGGACTGGTTAGCACGATGGTTCTGTGGGTAAGGGGGCTTCCTGCCAATCCTGTGAACTGTTTGAATTCTGGGACCCGCATGGTAGAAGGAGAATGACTCCCACAGGTTCTTCTGTGACTTCCACAAATATGCCACAGCATGTGCACACATGCATATACATATAAAATAAATAAGTATAGTTTTTAAAATGAAAAGTAGATGGAAAAACCCTGAAGCACCAAGATTATAATCATGCTGGCATAAAACAAAAGACAGAAAGACTTAGAATACAGATAATCACATGATTAGAAGGACATATCAGCAACATATTTTTTTCTATAAAAAAGGCACTACACCAAAGTAATAAATGGTGGGTATACACTGAGTGATATCTACCAAAAGAATAAAAAAAAAAACCCTCAAATATACCAGATTTGAGGAATAAATCTTTTTTTAAAAAAAACTTATTTGCATGTAATAGAAAAGAAAAAGTTAATTCTTATTACCTAATAGCTGCTATACCGTGTCCAATTTCATGTACAACACCACTAATGAGGACTGCAGCGAAGAAGTAAGTCAGTTGATTGACAGGTAAATTTATACCAGGAACCTGTTCACAGACATAACACAGCAATGGTTATCAGTGTGGGTATAGCAAAATCCTATTTGTAAACCAAGAAGCATGACCTTCACTCTGTCTTACAACTGAAACCTCCAAACTTAATATTCCATGATATAAAAGTATTGTGGCCATTAAGGACCAATTTTTATTTCTACCATAATTAAGGGGAAAAAGGCAATATTTTGTTTTGTCGTAACATAGGTAACCTCTATAAAACAGGCTTACTTTCAATTGAAAGAAAAACGGGAAGGACTGCATTAAAAAGTTATATATCTAGATTTCCAAGAGCTTCAACATGGGACAGAATGAGGGTGTCGAGTATCAGGGAAAACAGGGTAACAATAAAGGTGGCAGTGGTTGATCCATCTCCCCCTTTTAAGATTTACTTAATGTATGAGTGCTTTATCTGCATTTATGACCTTGTGCCAGAAGAAGGCATCAGATCCCACCTCAGATGGTTTGTAAGCCACCATGTGGTTGCTGGGAACTCAGGATCTGTGGAGAAGCAGCAAGTGCTCTTAACTTCTGAGCCACCTCTCCAGCTCCATCCTTCCTTAAGGGTTGGAGGCTTAATTAGGGAACTCTTCTTAAAATTCTTAGTTCTAATTGAAGGTAGTAGTGCACATCCTTAATGCCAGTATCCACAAGGCAGAGGCAGGTGGATCTCTGAATTCAAGGTCAGCCTGATCTACAGAACAAGTTCCAGGCCAGCCAGGGTTACCACAGAGAGACATTGGGTTTGAACTGTGAAGAGTTCAAGAGCTTGTATTGAGTCATACAGGACATTCTCTCCTACAGCAAGTCAGTGAGGCTCTTTTTAATCCTCACAATTTATAAGAGGTAATAGAAGCTATTATAACAAAGTGCCTGGTCAGTGTTGGTGCACCATGCCCTTCAATCCACTTATCCTTACCAATTTACCTGTCAGAAAAATAGAAGCAAATTATGCATGGCTTGATTCAGTGCTTTCATGGACAGATGAAGAAGCAGTTGTTTTACAACCATGTACTCTAAAATTGTTGTGCATACAAATATCAGTGTGTTCATAATGAAAGCTTTTTATTATCCAGGCTGAAAAGTAAAATTCTCTGATAGCCAAGAGAGCCCAGGAATAAGGTAAATCATCTGTTAAGGAGAGAGCCTGAACACATGGAACATATGTTTCTCACAATAAAAGACTTAAAACCCAAAAGAAATCTCTCTGGAGAAAAATCCCTTCTTTCATTTATGAATTATCATTTGAATACTAACTTAAAGTAATCACTACATGCAAACTGGGGTCTGGAGAGATGGCTCAGTGATTAAGAGCAGTCTACTGCTCTTGCAGGGGAGCTGGGTTCAATTCTCAGCACCCACATAGTGGCCCAGAACTGTAACTCCAGGGACAGGGGATCTGACACCCTCTCCTGGCCTCCTTGAGCACCAAGTCCACATGTGCATACATGCAGACAAAAACATTCTTACACATAAAATATAAATAAATAAATCTTTAAAAAACAAAACAGGGAAAACAAATAATCTTGCTCACTTTGCAAGCACAAAACAGAACCATTCTCAATGCTTTGCCATAGCTTTCTAGTCTTTCCCCTACAAACCTTCTTTCAAAGATTATACTGTAATTATAAACATGATTTTGAAACTTGTGTTTTCATGTAATATCTCTTCATATATTTTCTAGCTCTATGCTTATTTTTTCTTTTCTCTCTCTCTCTCTTTTTTTTTGAGACAGTCATATATACAGCTGAGCCTACCTACTAAGAAAGATACTCCTGCCTCAGTCTCCAAAGGGCTGGCATTACATGTCTGCATACCTAACTCAACATACATTTTTTTTAGGGCTGCAGAGATGGCTCAGTAGTTAAGAGTACTTCTTATAGAGGATCCAGCACCCATATCTTGGCTATCAACAATTCATAATCCAAATTTCAGGGAATGCAACAGGTGTACATATGTGGTATACATATATGCATTCAGGCAAAATACTCATACACGTAACAAAAGTAAATCAAAAATAATTTTTTAGATTTATTTTTATTTGTATGAGTGTATTGTTTGCATGTATGTATGTGCACCACATATGTATTGGATGCCCATGAGGTCAAAAGAGGTCATCAGATCCCTTGGAACTGGAGTTATGAATGGCAGTTGGTGAGCTACCACGTAGGTTCTGGGAAATCAAACCTGGTCCTCTTCAGAGCAACAAATGCTCTTAACATCTAAGCCACCTATCTAGCCACTACTTTGTTTTTAGAGATAAGATCTTTCTCACCAGGACCTGGATCAATAATTAGGCTAGGATGCCTGGCCAGAAAGTCCCAAGATTTCTCCTGCCTATACCTTCTTGCATTAGGATTGTGAGTGTGCAGCATTAGGCCTGTTTTTATTTGTTTGGTTGGTTTGGTTTTAAACTAGAGTCTCAATATGGTTTTTAACAGCTGCATTATATTCTGTGGAATGGGTTGTTGGTCATTTAACTATTTTACAAGTTTTTGCTATTTGTAATTATTTTTGTGACTTGACTAATCAATTCTCAGTTGTGAAGTTTTGTGTGTGTACAGGTACACATAACTCTCTCTGCACACATATGGCAGAAGCCTAAGGAGGATGGTGGGAGTCTTCCTCTACTGCTCTCCATCTTAACTAATCAACTGTTGCATTATTATGGGGGTAAATAAATACTTGCCAGTGTGCCTGTGGAAGCTAGAGGACAACATGAAAGGAGTTGGCTCTCTTCTTACAACATGTGGGCCTGCATATAGCACTAAGGTTATCAGGCTGAGTGGCTAGCACCCTTACCCACTGAGCCGTTTTGCTGGCTCTTCTGTACCTTAGTTTTGAGACAGGGTTTCTCACTGAAACCAAATTTCCATCATCTCAGCTAGTCTAGATGGCTAGTGAACTCCAGAAATGGACCTGTCTTCACCACATGGTACTGGGGTTGCAGGCCGCAAAGACACGTGGGTGCTGGGAATTTCAACTCAGTTTTTCTTGCTTTCACAGACAAGTGTTCTTCTATCCACTGAGCCATCTTTTCATCCAAAAAGTGACAAATTTGACTTAGCACAGTGAAATTTTCTATCAGCTTATCACTGTGTTACTTCTTGCACTTGTTTACTTATGTACTGGCTGGTTTTGTGTGTCAACTTGACACAAACACCACCCACATTGGTCTGGGCCCGGCCCCCATCGATCACTAATTAAGAAAATGCCTTATAACTGGATCTTATGGAGACATTTTCTCAATTGAGGTTCCTTCATTATAAAGAACTCTAGCTTGTGTCAAGTTGACAAGAGTAGCTAGCACAATTGATCCTTGTCAACTTGACACACAAACACATCACTATTAGGCTACAACTCTTCCTTTCTTACTCATCAATATTTCACATTAAAATACAAACTAACTTTAAAAGTCACACAGTCTTTACAAATCCAAATACATTAAATTTCTGTTTCTTTAAAATCTCTCTAAAAATCCAAAACCTCTTTTAAAAGTCCAAAATCTTTCACTTATGGGCTCCTGTAAAACTCAAAATTACACATCTTCATATTTCAAGAGTGAAGAACCAGGGCACGGTCACAACCAAATCAAAACAAAACAACTTTAACTGTGGAAACAACACAATGTCCAATGTCTGGGATTCACTCACGATCTTCTGGGCTCCTCCAAAAGCTTGGGTCACTTCCTATGCTCCACCCTCTGCAGCACACCCAGCTTGTCTTTTGGGCTCTGGTTGGCTCAACTCCACTACTGCCGCTGCTGCTGCCCTTGGTGGTTATACCACTGTACTGTCATCTCCAAAACTGCTGGGGTCCTTTGGTACAATTGGGCTGCACTCTCAGCATCTCTGCATGACCCCTTCAATCCTGAGCTTTCAACTGCCACTGAGGTTGCATCTTCACCAGTGGTCTCTCCTGGCCTCTCACAGTGCCGAGTCTCAGCTTCTCTCCATGACCACTTCATGCCTTCAAAACCAATACCACTTAAGTGACTCTTACGCATTACCAAATCTGGCTGCCAACATGAGGGCCAAACTTGGCCGCCTCTGGAACACAGCTTCTCTTACTCTCCAGAAACACTTCCCAGAAAATTTCACTTTAGTGATGCTGGTCTCTTCCTAATTACTGCTAATTTCTTAGCTCCAGCTGATCAGCATCATGTATCCCAGAAAACCGAAGGATTCACTTTAGTAGTTCTTGTGTCTTGTTAATCACAGCTGATTTCTTCAGCCGGAGCTAACCACAATAACAGAATCTTAAATCAAAATAGCAAATGGCCCTTATAGTCTTTAATCTTCCCAGTGAAATGTCACAGGTCAGGCCTCCATCTTCTGCACTGTTTCCAACATTCTCTTCCCAGCTCCCTCAGAACATCCCACAGAGCTCTTAACTCTCAATAGCTTTACTAGCCCAAAGTTCCAAAGACCTTCATTGTACCTCCTCAAAACATGGTCAGGTCTGTCACAGCAATACCCCACTATGCTGGTACCAATTTTTCTTAGCTAAGGTTTCTACTGCTTTGATGAAACACCATGGACATAAAGCAAGTTGGGGAGGAAAGGTTTTATTTGGCTTACAGTTCCATATTGCTGTTCATCATCAGAGGAAGTCAGGACAGGAACTCAAACAAGGTAGAAACCTTGAAGTAGGGGTGCTGCTTATTTTACTGGCTTGCTTCTCATGGCTTGCACAGCCTGTTTTCTTTTTTAGAACATGAGACTACCAGCTCAGGGATGGCACCACCCATAATGGGATGGGCCTATCCCATCAATCACTAATTAAGAAAAATGTCTTACAGCTGGATCTTATGGTGACATTTTCCAAATTGAGGATTCCTTCTTTTCAGATAACTCTACCTTGTGTCAAATTGGCATAAGGCTAGTCAGCATTGACACTTACATCTTATCAAGCTGCTTTTTAAATTTTTTTTTAAAATTTTCATTGGTGTTTTGCCTGCACATGTGTCTGTGTGAGGGTGTCAGATCTTAGGA